ACATATATCAAGGCACAGTAAAAAACACTAGCCTGGATATAGAGAATACAGAGGGATCTGAAAATGGCCATGTAAAACGTTTTGTTTTGGTTACGCAAAACTATGCAAATGTCATATGCTCTAAATAATATACAAGAAAAATATTGCATACAGGAGCTTTAAAATATTTATGCTATTTTTATTTACACACGTGAAACTGCAGACTGTTCTTTATCTGCTGTTTCTATTATTCTGCACTTCCCCTTCACAAGAGCACTGCAGCTGCTGACCTCAACAATTACTGTCCCACATCAGAGCTGTCACGCTTCTGTTACTTCTTCAATGTTTGATCATTTTCCAACTCGCTTGCTGTTTCTATTCCAATTACCCTGACTAACCACCTTTCTTTTGCTGCTGTTATTTGTTATTTATATCCTTTATTCATGATTTCAGTAGTTTATTCAGATTTTTAGTAGCCTGTCCTTAGACATCATTAGCCACATTTACATGTAGCCTTACAATCCGTCAATAATCCGCTTAATAGCTCAGTCAGAATAGTCTAGTCCAACTGAGGCCATTCGCAATACAGTTTCTATGTGATTGAACGAGGTGGGTAATCCTGTAAATAATCCGTTAAATAGAAGAATAATATCCGTGTAAACGTCTGTATCTGATTACATTCCCTATCGGAAAGTTTAAGTACGTTCTGATCATGTTCGTCGCGTCATAGTGAAAGTTTATACCGTTCAACATGGCGGAGCAGAAACTGGTCTGCAGAGGAGACGAAGTTTATGCTCTGATCTTTAAAAGACGGCGGTGGGACGGACGTCCAGCTTATGTGTCTCAGAACACGACGTCTTCCTCTCGGCCTTCTTTAATAAGGACATGTGAAGGACGTTTTCCTGAGTCTGACATCATTTTAAAGCAGTTAAAAACACAAGCACTGCTCACTGCTGCTCATCTCACTCTGACTGGACTCACGTGATGCTGGCTGTCATGGTAACGTCTACACTAAGTGGCTCTTTATGCATGCGTATCATTTTGGATCTGATTACTTGCAGTGCTCATGTAAATGGAGATTTTCCATCGAATAGAGTGAGAATAAACACCGCAGTCTTAATCTATAATCGAAATGTGTTCAATCGGATTGGCAAAATCTTTGCATGTAAACACAGCCATGGAGGCAAAAGGCATTATGGCTTCATAATCTGGACTTCTGGTGGGTTGTCTACCGTATGTTTTGTATGCCGGGCGCTTCTCGATTAGTCTGCAGTTTGTTGCGTTTGTTCAGGCTTTGGCATCAAAGTCAAGGTATTGATATTGGTCTCATAAACGATATCCAGCCCTGATTATTAATTTTTTTTTACATGTGCATTAAATGCATTGTTAGACTAATACAGGGATATCAAACCTCTGGACCGCAGCTCAGCAAACTCACAAAGGCCTGGCCAGTTAAATGAGTTTAATTAGGTGTGTCAAATGAGGACGCTAATCTAATTTTCTCCACCTAAAACTGAACGTAGTGTTTCAGTAGCTCAGGCTGAGTAAAGAGAATGACAATGCAATCCTCTGAACTCAACAGAAAAGCCCACACAGTGCTCCACACTGTATGTGTAAAGACAGAAGATGCAGGAGCCGTAAATACTCAAATCACTCATTACACTTACCGTATCCCAGATCTGAAGCTTTATCTGTTTGCCATCTATAGTGATCATCCGCGCTCCGAATTCTACACCTGCAAAATGAGAAGAAAGACAGAATATGATCAGAAACTCATCTGTACAGCGCAAAGCCACAGAGTCTGACCTGGGATGTAGTTCTACTTCTTTGCTGTGCATTTATAAATATAAAAACATTTATTATGCCTTGTGAAATACACATACATGAACACCACAGACGGCACAAAATAAAATAATATTCTTATAACTACGACTACAGCTCTCTTAGCAACTAGGGGGGGTCGATATACTATCAAAAAAGTTCTCTGACTTATAGCAGATAGCAACAGAGGAACCCTTTTTTAGTGCTTTACAGAACCATTTTAAAAAGCGTCTTTACAGAACCACATACAACTGGTTTTACATCATAGAGATGAACAATTTAACCATGTAAAGAAGCATTTAAGCATTCATATGGTTCTTTGAGCATTCATGGTTCTATATAGAACCACTGCCTTTACTAAAAAAAGCCTTACAGAACAATTTACTACTAATAATACTACTACTAATAATATCAACTAGATGGTTTGAGGTATTGTTTCTTAAGCTTTAAATGCTCGGTAATGCTTAATGTAATGTACCCCTCTAACTAAAGCGTATACCCCACCATTTAGCATGACACTAACTAGGGGGCAGTTGTGGGCTGGAGGTTGGGGAACCAGCCCTGTGACCGGAAGGCTGCTGGTTTGATCCCCTGAGCCGACAGTACGTGACTGAAGTGCCCTTGAGCAAGACACCTAACCCCCAACTGGTCCCAGGGCCTGTGGTCGGGCTGCCCACCGCTCCGGGCAAGTGTGCTCACTGCCCCCTAGTGTGTGTGTGTTTACTAGTGTGCGTGTGTTTACTAGTGTGCATTCACTAGTGTGTATGTGGTGCTTCACTGCATGGATGGGTTAAATGCGGAGGTGAACTTCCCTGTTGTGGGACTAATAAAGGGTAAAGGTTAACTTAACTAGGGCTGGACACCATGACAGTTTGTCTTTGTCATAAAGTACACAATGTCACAATATGCTTTTCTGATCATATCATGCACATTGTCAGTACTTCTGCACGTTTGCTTGCAAAGAGAGCCTCATTAGTCCCATTTGACTGAATTTAGTGCCGCACAGTGTGTGAAATTTTCAATATAGATCAGATTATTCACAGGATTTGATGGCGTTTTAAAGGTGGTGCTACTTTCTCTTTCACAATTTATCAGATGTGAGAAAAAAATTCATAATGACACACAGCGTATCGTGAGAACTTCCTGAGGTATTGTGATATTACATTTTTGCCAGATCTTCCAGCCCTGGGTCTGAGCACGTCTAAATTCTTAAGAGTTGTTAAGAAATCTCTGACAGTCATTACTGTCACTGTATGACATACTATAGAGACAGACAAAAACGCAACAGAACAGCAGCAGCAGCCTTGACAAATTAGATTTTTCACTGAAGTATCACAGTATGGTAGTGCTGAAAACGATTTACTAAAAACTGCAAACTAGGTGTCGCATAGATTAGTCGACTAATAAATCCGAAAGCCAGCGCTGTGGGTACACAAGAAGAACAAAGTACTTGATGAAACCAATTTCCAATGCAAGCTGTGTAAACCATGCTGAAAATTTAGGCTCACGAGCCAGACTGGGTAGGTTTAGAGTACTGCCATAGGAAAGGGCCGCTTGACTGATATGCAGAACATCCAATCACAGACCATTCAGCGTGGCATATGAAACAAACTTGGGAGTACCGGTCAGCAAACACACGAGGATATCTCGTTTACTTGCTACCTCCGGCTTCAAACATACATCATTAATAGTGTTTAAAAATGGGATATGAATGTTAGCTGGTTCAGCGACTAGGCCTGTGTCTCGCTCTCAAAGGCTTCCTGGTGAGCAGAGATGCAACTGCTTGCATTCATCTCAAAGGACTAGAACTGCTGTGAGAAACATGTTTATGAGAGCTGTGGTGATTTTACCGTGCGGTTTACATCAGACAGTCTTGGTAACTCTGTGTACTGGGTGTCTGAGACTGAAACTTACTGAAATACAACTCTTCTGCAGTCACACCTCAGACCACAACTGACAACCAGCCTCTATTACCAACCTGCTTACAAAATGCTTTTACAGACATCCAGAGGACTCGCTTTTTTTACAAAGTGGTAATAATGACTACTTTCTTGAACAACTAGTTGACTAGGACAAATTAACAGTCATGCAACCCCTACTGTGAATATTAATGCTGCATATTAGCACTTTACTTGATTTATGTTATTTTATTAAGTTTTTTTGTTTACTGAATTTTCATTTAAGGATTTAAAATGGCAGGATGGCCCATTAAATAGTAAATAAATGGCTTTGGCTAATAGAAAGTGTTAGTATGATTCATGTGTTCATTCCTCCCACACAGTGTCAGCTTCAGGTAAACAAACAAAGGGCTACTATAAATCAGCAAAAAAATACAATTACTGTCCACTTGCCAACTTTGCTGTAATGGAATTGGAGTCTGCCATAAAAATATTCATGATTGGTGAATCCCTACTTAAACATCAGTCTAACAATTAATAAATATATAAATATTTGACTTTGGTTTATCATTTTGAAATGACAAATATCAAGAAAAAAAAAATGAAAATGGGCTCCCAGCAGAGAACGAGTTCTTATTAGAGTTTATAATCAGGGTGCAACTCATGTCTCGCTTATCTTCCAGAAGCACTCAAAACCAACTAATCTTTTTTTGTACGAACAGATTTTTATCTTCAGTTTATGAAGTAACGTCTATAACTGTAGCTGTAGCACCAACCCTCTATTCCGGAGTCTTCACACACACAAATACCACTGGCCCATATTTATCAAGCTTGTGTGAAAAAGCGAGTGCTGATCTCGAATCAGTGTTTGCCCTTCGTGTTCTGATCAACACAGCTAAACAGGCAGAGTGGAAATGATCCCAGACCAGCACTTTTACTGTGACTTTGCCAGTAAATACAGGTTTAAATGCGGAAGTAAGAATGTGCTAATTCACTGTTTTGTGTTCAAAAACGACAGGTCACAGTCCCAGTCCACTTTTCTGACCATGTTTGGCCGTTTAGGTGACTGAAAAGTAGAACGTCAGCATGACAGAGGAAAAAACACTGAAGTCCGTAGAGAACGGTTAAACTATATTTAAAAAGAGTCCTGACCTCAACCCCACTGAACACCTTTGGGATAAACTGGAATGTTGATTGTGAGTCAGGCCCTCTCGTCCAACATCAGCGTCTGACCTCAGAGATGCTCTTTTGACTGAATGGGCACAAATTCTTACAGACACTCTACGAAATCTTGTAGCCGTTACAGCCGCGAAAGATGGGCAACTCCATGTTAACGTCCCTGGTTCTGGAATGGGATGTCCAACAAGCTCATACAGGTGTGATGGTACATACGTAAGGTCATTTAGTATATTTTGCTGAATATATTTTGCAGGTAAACTTCATGGAAAGTATATAATCCCTTGCTTACTTTATGGTTACTGCAACCAACAGCGCTGCAAATAAAAATGGACTTTGTTAGCTTGTGCAGTCAGTCCTTAATAATAACTAACTTTGCATTGTTTTCAATATATTAACTAAATAATAAGGCCTAAGACTTAAAGGTGCTAAAGAGATCTTAACAAAACTTGGCATCACTTTGCTGTCAACAAAACAATACTATTTCTTTTTAAATGTTTTTGCTTTTTAGGCTTAAATCTAGCAGTGGTGTGATGTGGGTACTCTTCTGAAAGGAAGTTAAATGTGCACTCAGAATGCGCACATTTGGTGTGAGACCACTAGATGACAGAGATAACTAACCAGCTAGCATCGTGGGGCGCTAAAGGACCACATATGACAGGGTGGATGTAATGATGAAGCTCACTGCAACAGCCAAATACATTATATGTCCAAAACTCTGTAGCCAAGAGCGTTTCTTCTGAAATGAAGGTGTTAATAGTGAGTTTGTGCTGCAGTAACAGACTCTACTCTTCTGGGAAGGCTTTAGACTAGATGTTGAACATTGCTGTGAAGATGTGATTGAGCATTAGTGAGGTCAGGCACTGATGTTGAGTGATCAGTTCTGGATCACATCCAACTCAGCGCAAAGGTATTGGATGGAGCTCCATCACTCTAGAGAATGCAGTTCCGCTGCTCCACAGCCCAATGCTGGGGGGGTTTATACCCCTCCAGCCCATGCCTGACCTTGGGTATGGTGACCTTAGGCTCAGGTGTGTCTGTTCCTCAGCATCCAATAATATGGATCAGGGCTTTTCTATGGAGATTATACAATCTCAGTGAACTTCTGAATCAGCAATGGCTGACCTTAAGGTAGCTGAATTAGAAGGACTGTCCAGATAATTTCGGACATACAGTGTATTATGGTTCTCTGGTCATAATAAACAGCACAGGGTCAATGACATAAGGTTTTTAAAAACGTAACTTTATTAGTATTATCTAATTTAAAAGACACATGCATTCTTATATCTGCATATTTACTTAAATTTATTACTATATGCATTTTATATCTGAAATACAGTGAGTATAGAAAAATACTGGACTACTCATTTAATTCTGTTTTTACATCCCAGCGAAAGTACAGGAACACCTCTACTTTGTCACAACATTGCATACGGTTGTATGTTATGTTTATTTAAGTCCAAAAAAAAATTCTTGTTACCGCAGCCATTTTTCAATCTATCTTCATTGCTTAGAATTAAAACAGGCTGTTTTTATTAATGTGCAATTTAAGACTGATATATGTAAATGAGATATATCATGATTGGCTGCCCTGTATTGCTGTCCATTCAAAAGCAGTATGGGCTGAAACACTCCTTTAGCGGGACTGGGTGGAGCTAAACTGCTGTAGGCTGAACGGGTGGGGGTAAACTGCTGTAGCCCAAATGGGCGGGGCTAAATTTGAGGAGGATGAAGGAGCAGGGCTAAACTGCAGAAGGATGAATGGGCAGGGCTAAACTGTTGTAGGCTAAAGGGGCGGGGCTCAACTGGTGTATGGGCAGAATTAAATTGCTGTAGGCTAAAGGGGCAGGGCTAATCTGCTTTAGGCTGAATGGGTGGTGCTAAACTGTTATAGGCCAAATGGGCAGGGCTAAACTGCTGTACGCCGAATGGGTGGGGCTAAATTGCTGTAGGCTAATGGGCGGGGCTAAACTGCTGTGGGCTAAATGCATATGTAAATGTACTGGTGTTTGTAACACTATGAGCTCAAAACAGGCTGTTTTTGCGGCTTAGTTTCCATATATGGTCTGTATGGACTGGAGATCGAAAGTTTTCCATGATATGAGCCTTTTAAAGGGTATTTCAAGGCATTGTGCAGAGATTTTGATGTCAATGGCTATTTGAAATCTGAATCCCAACATGAGGAGCAAATAAAAAGGAGCCTTCCAGCTGACTTGACTTCAGAATCAACTGGCAGGCTTAAAAGGAAGTCTATGCTAATTGAGCACTACCAGTCAGTTTTTGTTTACAAACACAGCCTTTTCCAGAATAACTCTACATTAAATCAACAGTCTATGTTAAATAGGCCAGAACAGCAGCATGAGAAGAGCAATTTAAATCTGATTTCTGCCAAACTTTTCTTTTAAACTGCTTTCAAATACTTTTACGTCTTTTTAAAAACACCACAAACCTCTCCCAGTCATCTGTGTGGTGCCAAGCTACGTCTCCTGAACTAACAGACTTATTACCATCTGTGATAATTAAGAGGATATGAGTTTGGCTGAAAGCAGCTTACCGATAGTGAGATCGTGCACTGGCTGGAAGCGTTTGTCTGTGAACTGTAATAATAGGCATGATTTCCCCACACCTGCAAAGCAAACACAGAAAAAGGAGAGATGAATGCACACATTCGGGCTCGGCTCCATATCCCATTACCTCCACATGAGCATACACGGAAACACTACTTATAAAGAAATGCTCAAAAGGGAATATATAGTAGTAATAATAATAATGATAATAATAATAATAATAATAACAATAATAATAACAACAACAACAACAACAAACATTTTATTTACATAGCACTTTTTCAAGGTCACTTTATGATTGCAGCTGATGGGAGTGACAAGGAGGTTAGGAGGAACAAATACTTAACCCTCTACTGCACGGATTATAAGAGCAATTAAAAAAATATTCTATTCACTTTTCTTGGATGAAATCGACCTAATTATTAAATTCTGAGGCAACATTGTGTGACAATGGGAAGAAATGATATAGAACCATGTAAATCCATTCCACTGCCCTACAGTGTTACTTCTAGGCAACAAACATACTGACACTGAATGTTAAAAAAGAGGTTTGTCCATTAAGAGACAGTATGACCAAATACTTCCTTTTACTGACTTACTCAAACTCTTCCCTTTATTATTAACCCTGTCGTTGTCGTTAAATATGTATAACGTTAGTGTAAAGTGAGGAAAAAGGGTTTGTTGCCTAGAGGCAACGTCGTGCAAAAGACGGTTAAAGATGAGTCTCAACATGGGAGAAGGAAGGAAAAGAATTACGGCTGATTTTACAAAAACAAGGATATAACAAATCAGATACAAACATTATGCACAGTGAGGTCCAGAAGTCAGCATGCGTGAAAATGCTCCTTCTTCGCATCCCTTTCTAATTTAACACAACTTTATTTATTACTAAGTACATTATTAGCATGCAAGCTTAAATTTTAACTTGAATTTCAGAATTTTAGTATTTGGTGGTGTGTCCCCCTTTTGCTTTAGTGACCATATGTACTTCAAAATGTCACACATTTTCTAACATTTGAACAGTGAACTAGAAATAGAGCAGAATCTTTAATAATTCTTCATTTTAACTGTCATAACAACATTTCTTTGTTCTAAATTTTTAAATTTTCTAAAATTTTGTGGTTTATTTCAAGGTTTTAATGGAAAAGTTCTGATGTGGTCTCAGACTTTAGGACCTACTGTATGCACAGTACTGTGCAATAGTGTGGGGGTTTAAGGCAGCCAAGAAAATTGTTTTTGCTTGTAAAACATTATATAACATTAGAATACATGCAAATAATCATAAATACATTACTGACAAACACATTCTGACTAAAGTTATGAACATGTAGTTTAGAAGATCACAGGTTTGGCTCCAGTCTCTCTGATCTCCAGCCTGGATTTATTAAACTCCATTAGCAGCAGCTCATTTACTTTAATGAAGGATTGATTAGATAAAGCAGGCACTGGATGGTGACTGTAAACACTGCACTTCCAAGGAGAACTCCACCAAATTTTCAAAATGCCTGCATAACTAAAGCATTGTGACGTAAACAGAGTGGTTCAGAGTGGTTTGGTGTGAAACGCTCTGTTCTAGAGAAACTGACCGAGTCAGAACTGTTCACAGTGGTGGTGATAGGAACCAGACGTCCACCTCTAAAAGCTCCCTCACAGAAAGTTACTACATGAAATGGTTATGAATTCACTGCCTGATGACTGAGGCACTGTTTTAGGATGTTTGTGATAATGTTTTGGCCTAAAATGTATTTTAATTAATTTATTTTAATCTATTTATGATGTTAGGATACATGTATGGCTTATTTTACCATCATCAACACTACATACAAACACTCAGAAGACGCGTGTAGGTTCACTGGTGGTTTTGGATAGTTAATAAAAAAGGCTGTGTGTGTGTTGTAGTCATGGCGACCCCTGGTTCCTATCACCACCACTGTAAAGACATCCAAGTCAGTAAGTTTCTCTAGAACAGAGCATTTCACACCAAACCACTCTGAACCACTTTGTTTTCATCATAACCACTGAATTATATACAGATTTTGAAAAATAAGCTCCCTTTCAAGTGAATATAATCAACACAAAATCACAATGGATTGTACATTTATTTGTTGTGATTTATTTGCTTATTTGTTTGTTGTTCATTTCTCCTAAAACGTTTATTAAGTTAATGCTTACTGTCCAGATAAACAGCTTTACTAATCATTTTCTCTTTTCTCTCACTCTAAATATTGCTAACATGTCTGAACGAAACTTCTTATCACCTGAAAAGTACAAAATGTCCTTAACTTTTATTGGAATTTAACAGAACAAGATTCTATTCTATGCCATTCTGAACCATTTCTATCGGTCTATTCTACCTGTCTGAAACTCAGACCGTGTAAATACCTGGTCTTTTCAAATGAAAATGAAAAATGACAAAAGTAAACACAAGGTTTTGTCCTGACAGCGACAATACAGCCCCTATTACACTATGAGAAACACCAAACCCACCATTTCTACTAAATCTTGCTAAAAAAAACGCTCAGAAGAAAACACCAAACTCTGACAGGACGCAGGAGACCAGGGTGGCATTCCACAAAACAGGATCTCATTCAGCCAGATAACTTAAGCTCAAAGTCCAGAGCTGTCCAATGAGAACGTCCCCCATTCTTCTCCAAGCGGACAGGCTTAACTTTAAAGTTATCTGGCTAAACTGAAAAATCCTGCTCTCTGAAAAAACCCCCAAGCCTTCAATGCTGGCTTTGGCATGTGGCTCAACTGAGACACAAACCTGCAGTCAGGCAATACTTCCAACTCAGGACTGCAGGCAAATATGCATGAATATTATTTAAGCATTTCACCTTTTTTGGTACAATAAAGCTAAAAATGGCTATTTTCAACAAGAAAAGTCCAAAATAGACGGTGACCCTTTATTTTAAGGTTGAGGTTAGGGTTAGGATTAGGGCCAGGGTGAGGGTCAGGATTAGGTTTTGGGTTGAGGTTGAGGTTAGGATTAGGGCCAGGGTGAGGGTCAGGATTAGGTTTTGGTTTGTGGTTAAGGTTAGGATTAGGGCCAGGGTGAGGGTCATGATTAGGTTTTGGGTTGAGGTTAAGGTTAGGGTCAGGATTATGGCCAGGGTAAGTGTCATGATTAGGTTTTGGGTTGTGGTTAAGGTTAGGATTATGGCCAGGGTGAGGGTCAGGATTAGGTTTTGGGTTGTGGTTAAGGTTAGGATTATGGCCAGGGTGAGGGTCAGGATTAGGTTTTGGGTTGTGGTTAAGGTTAGGATTATGGCCAGGGTGAGGGTCAGGATTAGGTTTTGGGTTGTGGTTAAGGTTAGGATTATGGCCAGGGTGAGGGTCAGGATTAGGTTTTGGGTTGTGGTTAAGGTTAGGATTATGGCCAGGGTAAGGGTCAGGATTAGGTTTTGGGTTGTGGTTAAGGTTAGGATTATGGCCAGGGTGAGGGTCAGGATTAGGTTTTGGGTTGTGGTTAAGGTTAGGATTATGGCCAGGGTGAGGGTCAGGATTAGGTTTTGGGTTAGTAAGTATGGTTATTATATGTTAGTATGTATCAACAGAACATCTTCAAGATATTTCCTTTAGTGTATTCAGACGCTTCACTACTGCTACTTCACTGATATGTTATTGATAATCTATTAAAAGTTTATTAATTATCTACAAAGGACCACTCCAAACAAAGTGTTATCAAATAGATAAACAAAATAAGGAGTAAGTTCATCCAGTGCCATTTGATTTACAGCCTCATTCCAGCAGGTGCACCACTGGAGCTCTGGCTTCTTATTTCTAACATTTAAGATATTTGTCTGCGTTAACTTTGACTATGAGTTTCTAACAAAACAAAATCCACTCATAATAAATAGAATCCTACACTCTAAACTTCTCCTGGCTCATCTCTAACGGCCGTCTACTGCCGAGCTTCACCTTTGTGTACTTTGGTCTGAAGACAAAGGCCACGTACAAAATGGAGTCTCTCAGGTCTACGGTCACTCGCTTTATCAAACGACTTAGCCTGGCTGAGCATTTCGTCAAAATTAGAGCGATGAACACCGCTAATGCAATCAGCGGGGTCTGCTTCCTAACGAGGGAGGGGGGAGAGAAAGATCTGCCGAAACAAACAGGTTTTGCCCATAGGAGTGTGCGTGTTTCCAAGAGCAACAGTGGTTGCTAAGCGAGGGAGGTGCGCTGAAGGAGCGCTCGCAGGGGAGACGTATAGAGTCGACGTTATCAATGACACACACTCAAACGCACTACAGACCAATCCACAGTATCAGCGGGCAGGTTTACGTAGAGGGAAAAAAAACAGTCACACATAAAGAAAGTCATACTGACTTAAACTATTAATGCCCATAACTCACAGTTTACACTCGGTCTGTATGTTTTTAAGCAAAAATTTGAGGACATTTTTCAAAACGATCACAATGTACAACTAAAAAGTGTGTTTCTATCTCTTACCGTATCATTCATTATATATATATATATATATATATATATATATATATATAATTACATCGCTGTCGTCGGAAGAAAACCTCGCATCTCCAAAATGGTAACTTTACAGGAGAAGGAAAAAACATACTTTACTTTTAATGTAAGTCAATGGAACCAGACTTTTTTCCTCCAAGTCATTTTGGGTCGTTTCTTTTGGTCCATTCATCATGGAATTTACATACAATATAAAGAACAACAGGTATTTTCAAATTATGCCAAAACCTGAAAAACGACAAAAAAGGAGACTGGAAAATGGAAACAAGGTTTTCTTCCAACAACAGCAATATATGTAAATATTTCATGACAAACAGACCAGCAGAACCTCCTTAACCCTTGTGTGGTGTTCGGGTATGTGAGACCCAATTTCAGTGTTTACCAAAAGGAAAAATTCAGTGATTCATTATTATTTCACCCTCAGATGTCTTGGTCTTTGCTTTGTTCTCTTTGTGAAGAACACATAAAATAACCCTTTTCAGTGTCTTCACTCTGTTCACCCCCCACACATTTATATTACACATGTGGTGTTGGGTTGAACCAGGGAGTAAAAGTGTGGAGGTGCTGTGTCCTTCAC